CTTTTGATAGCCAGTACAGTTTTCATGTCACTGGCGCTCGCCGGGTTCGGCAGCTACGCGTATTACGTGTCGCAAACGCAAAATCTGGGCTACGTGGACTCGGCGGTGGTGGGCCAGCACGACTGGATACCGCTACTCTGCGTCCTCGTGTTCACGACCGCCCTCGCCCTGGGCATATCGCCAATTTCTTGGCTATTGATTGGCGAACTATTTCCGCTGGAGTACCGCGGCCTCGGGTCCAGCATTAGCACGAGCTTCAGTTACTTTTGCGCGTTTTTCGGGATCAAGCTCTTTATGGACTTCCAGCAGGTGAGCAGACTTTCATTTTCTTACTTAAGACACTGACAAGTTGCTTGGATTATGAAGACTAAGTTTAGAAACTAGGTTCAGGATTATAAGATTTTAAACGAGAAAATATCCATTAAAAAAATATTACATTTTGTTTAAACAACGATATTATTTTGTTAGAGTAATTAATTTGTCCAGATCGGTCCAGATATAAAATTTTACTTATCCAATACAATAGTACTTTCTACAATCAACTAATAATTAACTTCTGTAATCCTGTAATTAATAACTTAAGTATAGTGAGAATTTCCAACTTTTTATTTTAGAGTCTCGGTCTACATGGAGCCTTTTGGTTTTACGCCGCCGTGGCGGTCTGCGGGCTATGCTTCGTAGTCTGCTGCGTGCCCGAGACGAAGGGCAAGCAGCTGGACGAGATGAATCCGGATTATGCGCAAGCACGGTAGTATAAGGCCTCGCTGACGGGGGGTCTCTCGAACTTAGAGAAGGCGAACAAGCCTTTACCGGGAGGCGCTTATCCGAACGAGCACGATCCGCGGGATCTCTACCGCAGCGATCCGTCAATCGCGACTTCCAGCATCGCGATGCCGTCTGCGCGCGTCGCTCACCGCAAATTGTCGGATTACTGCGGCATCTTCGCCGAGAAGACCAATAGGATCGGCAGGAACGTGGAGAACTTTATGCAGTCCCGCGGTTTGCTACCGATTCGTCGCTCGGTCGACGAAACGTTACGTCGTGACGCGCTCGGAATTAACGGAGACGTGATCAGAAACGACCCTCCGCCGCGAACCGATCGGGAAACGAGCGAGAACCGTCGTCGCCAACAGGAGAATCGTGATTACGAGCGGCCGCGGAGAAACGGCGGGCAGAAGAAACGCGTGGCGTATTCCAATAGCACTTATATCCGGGACCCAACGCGAGCCGACGCGAGTTACGTTCGTCGTTTTAACGAGATAGAGCCCCGTCGCGCGAGAAGGCGCGAGTACGCGGAAACGGATTACGACACGGCGGACACCTGGAGACGAGAGCTGGACCTCGCGAGAGGGGGTCCGTGTGTCTCCAAGCCGATTCTGAGAAACGGCATCAATCACGGCGGGGACGAGAGGTCGTATTATTCGACCCTGCCGCGGCGCAGCAGGACCATCAACTTCAAGGATCAAGCACGCGACTCCCCGGAGGGAGGAGGACGGCGCGCGTATCCGAAGAGCCTGCAGGATCTAACGGATTTGAAACTCGACGACGTCACGTATCTTCCATCCGGCCGCGGTGGGGATGGCACTCGGGAGGAGAGACTCCTCGACGACAATTATCGTCGACGTAACAGGTATCGTCGAGAGGAGGACGAGCCGCCCTTCGACGACGATTATCTCAAGCTTTGTAGAAGCCTGTCGAGATTAGATACGTATCCGCGAGGCGGTAGATACGGACCGGGCGAGGTGCACTACGAGAGGGAATGCAGAACTTTCGGCAAGGACACGGTCGCCTTCATTTACTACAAGACGTGCTATTTATGATCTAAAGAGAAATGCGATACAAACGAGCGGTCGGGAGTTCTCTCATCGATAGACCGTCCATCGATAAGCGTGGCTCACGATCTCAACCAGATATGCGCGAACGGCCGATTGGCCGTCTCGAATCTTTCGTTCCGGACGCATTTAACGAGCGGAAGCATTTTCTACTCTATAAATTGGCTTAGATTTCTGTGTTAAGTCGATCATAAGACTTATCAGCAGTAGAGATCGATATACAGAAATTCCCTTCCTCGTCAGATTCATATCGTTTTAATAATAACATATCTTTATTAAGATGTAAAAAAAAAGGATTACTCGCGTGAGGAAAAAAGAAAGACACGAAGAAAATAATTGAGTAACCGCGAGTCACAAATTGCCTTCATGTCTGGCTTTAATAATTAAATCGTTTCTCGACTGATAACGAAGTTATATCATCGAGCTTTAAATAGTTGCTCTTACGTAACTTCTCTAAAAAAAAAGCGTGATAACGCTTTTTCTTTTAAAAGTCATCTTACAGAGTTAGATTAATTTTTTTATTTGTTATACACGACATAAATTGTTATGCTCATTCCGCACTGTCTAATTACTTAGTGTCATATCTCTTTGAGATATTTTTAAAGATGCAAATAATTGTAAAAAATGATCAAAAACGATACCAAATAATACCTACACATATATACTAGCATCAGATTAGATCTAAAATCGTAACGTGTGAGCTACCACATGCTTGTCGTACTATCTATTTTATATTAGTTTTCGGAGATATTAGTTTCTTTTTCATCAGGTTGAATTAGATTCTATGATAATAAATTTTTGATAATATTCAAGACTTATTCGCGTCAAGAGGCAACACACTCTCGTATATCGTACTTTCCAAGCAAGAAAGCGACAATACATTACGTAAATAAAAATATTTATAATTATGTATGCCACGAGTAAAACGACATTAACGGAGTTCTTAGAATAGACTCGATAGACTGCTCGTAGACTGCCAAGCTAGTCTTTCTGTAAAGTAATCGATATGCAATGAGTTTGCAATAATTTCTGCTACTATATATTTTCAGCAGGTTTACCTAATGGTGTTCGAGCACCATTTCTTTCGAGAATATCGCGATGAGCCTCGAGAGAGAAAGAGTAAAAGAAAATTACCAACGCTGAAAACGATGTTTTTACAGCCAAACAGTGAGCTGCTGGGGCATTCGCGTTACTAGAAGGGTTATACGACAATATATAGTGTATACATTTTGCAAAATGCTAAATTTTGCTAAACTCAGAATATCTCAGGCCTCGTTGCGTAGCACAGGCGCCGATGACTTAACTACGACAATATCGATTTGTAGATATATCTACATATGTTTCATATAAGATGCGTATTGTGTACATTGGTTATTGTATATTATATATACATATATGTCTCTATCGTATTCGTGGAACTTACGCAATTAGCGACAATACGATGCGATATAGCCGACAAACAAATTCTCGACAATACCACAAATTGCTAATTTCGCGAAGCCGGTAGAGCGAAATTCGGTACTATTAGCTTTATTAAGAAATCATGCATATGTACTAAGTGTAAAGTTGGAAGCAGCTATGCTAAATATCCGCGGATGCGAGGGCAAATCCCTCATCTGCGCAACTAATGCTCGTTATTCCTTCAAGTCTTCTGCTTTCGACGATTTCCTGCATATCTCAAAAGTGTAGCCATTCGAATGGCGAAATCGCGATTAGACGAAAGTCATAATGATGTATGTATTTTATATTTTTATATAGTTTGTAGAATAACGTCGAGAGAGAGAGAGAGAAAGAGAGAGGAAGAGAGAAAGAGAGAAAGAGAAAAAAGAGAGAGATTTACGACGAAATATTTGTTAGAAGTCGACTACA